TCATTTGAGTTAAATATATATATTCTTATATTCTTCAGTTTTTTTATTTATAGTTATTTATTTTTATAGTTATTTTATTTAATTCCCAGTGAAGTTTACTGTTTCAGTGCACTGATGTCATTTTGGACGATAAAGTTTATGGTTAAACTGTAAAATATCCTGCTTTCATTACATATCTTTTTCACAAGTGTCAAGTGTTTATATATATATGTATATATATCGGCCGATATATCATATCAGATTTTTTTGACTCCCTTATATTGGTATCAGCCCCAAAAATCCAATATCAGTTGGTCTCTAATGTGTACATCTCAAAACAAAGTCTGTTACTTACTAAAGAAAATACAGTTAGGACACATGTATATATTCATAGACACTGTAAGGTCTGTAGCAAGAACTAAGATGGACAATAGAGTTGTCCTGAAACACCTTGTCTTTTATGACACACATAAAGCAGGACTGGAAAAGACATAATCTGGTTAACCAGATATGTTTTCTCCATCAACCCTGTTTGTTTCTTGAGGCAGCTGTATGTTTTGCCAGAGTGCTTGACAACTAATACAATCCAAACATGAGAAAAGGGAAGCACTTTAAAACACTGTAATTTAATAGGCAGAATTATTTGTATATCTTGGGCCATTCTTGAACATAGCGGCAGTGAAATATCTGATTCTGTAAACAGATGAAAACACAGAGATTTGCAGTTTGTAAATGTAATTTTTCTCACCATTACAGGAGGGTTTCAACTGCCAAGCCTTTGTCTCAAAAAAGATCCTTGAGTCCACCCCAGCATATCTTGAATTCCTTGTTTAACTTCTAGCGAATGTTGTTTATGGTATACAGTCTTAGGTTAAAGATAGGTGAGATTTTGGTACAGAAAAAGGGGGCGGGTCTGTAAAATGGGGCTTTTCATCTCCCACTCCAAAGTAATGTAATGAGCAGTCACAGTTAGTAAACTTTCAGTGGCCCTGGAGGTCCATCCATCAGTAGTAAGAGCTACATAGGCTGTGTCGGACAACTCTTTGACAATTCCTTGTTGTTTCACTTCATAAAGTTGGGGAATGTAGCTTAAGTGTGTGCAGGAGGGGATATTATACCGCGGCTTGAGTACTTTAATCATATTCTGAAATCCTGCATCCTCCACCACAGCATAAGGCTGCATATCTTTTGCCATGAAACCTCCCAATACTTTCGTTATGGCTTTTGCCCTGTCTGATCAGAGGCTGTTTAAAAGCTGCGGGCAGTACAAGTTGTTCTTTCCTACCTGACTCTCTCCTCCTTGTGCTGTCAATTGACACACTGGGGTGATGTCTCCGTAGATGAGCCAACATATTGGACGTGTTGCCGCTAGCATGAGCAACATGTGTTGCACAGTGCTTGCACACAGTTTTATCAACCACTTTCTGACCACCGTCATCATCATAGGTAGCACTATATCCAAAATGCTGCTCCCACACAGGAGACTGAAACAATGCTGCTGGCGCATCCTCTAACTCTGGGCCTCCTTTTTCTTTTCCGCCTGCCATTTCCACAACTGACCTGGCTGTTGAACTCAACACTTAAACCCTTAATTTCCGTGCCAAATGAAAAGAATCTTCAATGGGTTACTGACGCAACGCTTTTTTGTGCATGCCTTGAACCAAACAATACACACATGTCCCGAACCGAGACAAGCGAACCAAATGGGACACATTTTATTCATGAACCGTTCCATCCCTAATTACAACCTACTGCTGGTTCGGAGTAGCACCAAACCTGATTTTAGCAGTAGCCAGAGAAAGCAAAGACGAAAGCAATCAGATGTTTGATCTAGCTAACAGAGACACATACATGTGGCTAAGTATAAACTTAAATTCATTTTTTAATACTCATCTGGACTTTATCCGACAATGTCTAAATAGGCCTTTGAAGAAAAATCAGTCTGCTGATTAGATTGTGGGCCAGGTCAAGATCACCTTTTAATCATGACAGGGTATTTCAAATGTTAGGAAAAGTAAAACAAGAATGAATGACTGTATTTTTCTGGATTATTTGGGACCTTCCCTCTGTTAAAATCCCAACAAAAAAAACAAAGAGGATGGAAGAGCAAACAACCAACTAGCACTGTAGATGCGCTCTGAGCCGAGCCAGGTTAGAGAGGCCTCCATACCTGTCTATTTGCCTGGCAGGGGAGAGCTATAGTGAAACAAACTCATCACAATTAAATGCAGATGACACAAGAACAACATTTGGAATTACTGTTCTGTGAACCATGAAATCAAGGCCATTTCTGTGCATCCTTGACTCACCATAACAACAAGCTAACAGCTCAACCACAAAAACCAAACCTGATAGGAATATCAAGATTCCCCCTGCTGTCTATTAAAGCTCTTGCAGTGGCTTTGGATAATTGTTCAGCAATATAATCAGTGAGTATTGACGTCTTGTATTTGTCCTCCACTGGGATGCACCCTACAAGTATTGGTCAGTGTCCCCCCACTTACTATATTATATACTATACTATATTATATGAAAGATTTGCAGAGAAGAGTTCTCTTCGAACTTGAAAAAAGATCTATTTGTACTTAAAACATCACACATAAAGACTCCTCATGGAGGACCCCAGAATTTCCTGTACATAAACTACTACCATTTTCTTTTTATATGGCCATTTAATGTAAGATTATCATAATTTTCTCGCATTCACTTCATGTTCAAAGTCAGTGTCTTATTGAGCCACAAAGAAAACTAAATCTGTGAAAATCCACATTCAAGAAGTATAAACTAGCCCTAAACTCTAGTTAACAGTGACTGCCACTGTGCATTAGGACATGTCTGAAGCTGCAGCATGTCACACAGAATGAGTCATACTTGTCACTTCACTAGACCTCTATGGAAAACAAGACATCCGCAAATATGTTTCTGGTCCTACTTTTTTTTTTTCAGTGGATGACAAGTGGTGAAGGCTAAGGAGAACAGATGACTGAACAAGAGGTCTATATGAATCATGCAGAGGAGGGGTGAAGAGGCACATGGCTTGCAGAGAGAACACTTGTGACTGGATGTAACACAGGGGCTCTTAAATCTATCCATGTCCCAAGAGAATAGCCCCAGAAAATGAGCTCTCTATCTGTACTACTGCCACAGCTGGCTGTTAAAGACATCAGTTGAAAGCCAAATCTTAAATCACTGTCATCATTTTATTTGCTATGTGTCAGTGAAATCTACATGTATTGAGAATTTCCTAATGAAAACAGGTGAAGCCAGTTTTAAATCAGATCACCTGTGTAAGAGTAAGTCTTCTCTGATTTGATTTAGCAAACACAGATAATACAGGGAAATTGCCTTTCCACAAAGTCTCCTTTGGCTCTGTCTGTTAACCAAACCCATATTTTTCAAAATTGTTTCAGACAAATTGTTTGTCTTCTTTGTCTTTCTTCCTTTCATTTATCTTGATTCTAATTTGTAGTTTCACTCTGGCCACACGATATCTAGATTTTTAGGCTGTTTTTTAAATAAAAAGGACCACCCAGAAGAGTTTCAGGCAACTCTAAGTCATTCCTCACAAACTGCTCCAATCGAGAAAGAGACACATTAAAAACTAATCGGATGGCGATGACACACAGTAGAGGCGCAAGGCCTTATTTGCAAAGCAGATGGAAAGCCTTGGCCTGTCCAACATTAATTACAATCACATTCGAGGAGGAAGCCGTCTCTCCTCCAGGACAGTTAGGACTCTGTGTACAGCTGGAAGAGATGGCAACCTAATCCCCTGGTCACTGCAGAAATCTGAGGGAATCGTCAAAAGATGCACAGGACGTGATTAATCAAAGTGGAGAGCCAGATGTGCAAAAGCACAGGAGTATAAACCCAAACTGACACAGCACAGGAATACTAAAACCACAGACACAAACACTACGCCGTCATCATCACAATCACCTCGAAAAGCTAACAGAGGGGGTTCGACATCTGAGACCAAAACTGCAACCGCCTTCTGTTTGAATATCTGGTTTTCATCAACACATCTTGCAACACAAAAACTCAGAGAACCATTGAGTAGAGAAGCATTTTTTAACTTGGGCGCTCCAGCCTATTATAATCTTCTATATATAATATATATTCTCTATATCTAATTATAATCTAAGGGTACTAAGTGACAACTAAATGGTTTACAAAGGTGAGGAGTAAAGATCTTCCTGTTTCAACAGCAGCTTAGAGTCAGAAAAATGACATATTCCCACTGTTCTCGTGTCCTTATCATGAAAATGCCCTCAGTTCCCAAGAAGACTGACAGTCAATCTGGATTAATGCCTTCTTGTCCACCAGTTTCTGACTCTCTGTTTATCTTCAGACACTCTGTTTAGAGTGTCCCAGTAAACACTAGAGCTGCTAATGGAAGTTAGGGCTTTTGGCTTTTATGTTCCAAACTAGTTGAAGTGTCCTCTTTATCGTCACTGGAGCTAATTAAAGACAAATCTGCTTAGGTAACACAAACAAGAATAAGTCCTTTATATACAAATACCAGTGGTAGTGGTTGATGGTTTGCTGAGACTATGGATCTCCATTTTTCCCGCAAAGTTAAAAATCATGTAGTACACCTCACAGTAAAACTGACTACAGAATCTCAGTGCTATAAATGAGGAGCAAAGGAGGGCCAATCAGCCCGGAGACGGGACACATAGCTACTAACAACAAATAACAATACAAACCTCATGAGTTTTTCCAACCCACAGACGAGATGAGGGAGTCATTTTTGCCTGTTTGGCTTATACAATGAACTAGTTCACGATCCAACTCTAGTGCGTGATGTTAAATCTGTCGTGTTAATGCCGTGTGATCTCAAATGTGTGGCGAGCAATGGTCCAGTGTGAAAGATGATTTTTTTTTAAAATAACTTCCCCACAAAACTGACACTATTTTGTCAAATGAGATTTCTTCATGTCAGCCAAAGTTTAGGTGGGTTTCCTCTTACAACAAATTCACAAATAACCCTTATCATGACATAATTTCAGGTAACTTACCTAAATTAACGAAGCTCATCACCATATCTGCATCATTTAGAAAGGCAGTCTCTTGATATGTGGCCAGAGGAGAGCTCTGGGTTGTCAGCATGGACTGATATCCGTCCAGCATGCTTTGCACTTGGCTTTTCTCATCGCTTGATATGGTGTTGTATAAGTCCAACATGAAAAGTGGAGCGGAGTTGAACTTTCCGTGTGACAGATGCGGTCTAGGTCTGTGCGGTAGCCCGAGAATGGACAGGATCTCCCTCTGCATCTCCCTCTTTGCGTGCGTCCGCAGCCGCCGCTGGATGAAACCCGGGTGCACTTCGTTGTTTCCATCGAGCGAATAATTACTCCCCGCGACCGAGAACATGCAGTAGTAAGCGCTCCACCACAATACGACCAAGGCAAGCCAGCAGCTGGTCATGTTGTTGTCCCGCCTGTGCTCTCCGGAGTCCCAAGTGTGTCTGCCTTGGAGCTTCAGTCGCCTGTCCAAATGCAAAATGAGCGTAACGGTCACCGAAGTCTGTCCGAGCTCGCTGTTATCTGTCAGCCACAGATCAAAAGCGAAAAAAAAGTGGCGTATCAAGCCATTTGAAATACTTCCTAAAGCAAAATTCGCTGAAAACTGTCGGTGCTGCTTTCATTTTTGATTTCCGTAGCGCGCTGTGGTGCTTCAGGATAAAGTGCACCATGCGAAACTTTATTGAGCGCTCAGTAAAGTTTGTCAGAGGCCACCGTTTGATACGAACTTCACAAGGAAAATAACAACTCCTCTAAAATAAGCCATTTTACAGATGCATTAGCTCTCTAAAATATATCATTTTCCAAATTGAGCTGACAAAAACGCCTTTTAATAGTTTCGCCGCTCTCAATGACTGTCACCTAGGCTGTGTACGAGAGTCTAACAGGAATCAGCAGGTTGGAGCCCATATGCTTGCTTGTGTGCCCGCGTACGTTTATGTATGTGTGTGTGTGTGTGTGTGTGTGTGTGTGTGTGTGTGTGTGTGTGTGTGTGTCTGTGTGTGTGTGTGTGTGTGTGTGTGTGTGTGTGGGTGTGTGTGTGTGTGTGTGTGTGTGTGTGTGTGTGTGTGTGTGTGTGTGTGTGTGTGTGTGTGTGTGTGTGTGTGTGTGTGTGTGTGTGTGTGTGTGTGTGTGCGTGTGTGCGTGCTCAGAAACCGCCCACTCCATGCGCATTTAGCCAGAGGTGGAGCTCTCTAGGCTACAAGGACAACTCTAACGTCATATTTCCATATTTTGTTAGCTGCATAATAACAGTCCGCCTATTCTTATAAATAAGTCAAGTTAAATCTTTGCATTCCCTGATTATTGCACATGATACTTATTACATTATAGTTTGTGTGATATGGCTTAATCCAAGCCTACTTTTTGCTAAACTTCTACATGTTATAAGTAGCCTATTGTTGGGATATACCTATAACTTCACATTGCCCAGCTGTGTTTTAGATTTCTGCAGTACATAGTTTGTTTATAAAATGATTACAATTTCTGTTAAATACTATTTGAAGAGTTGTACGTTACCTAACTTTATAAACACTGAAAAACATCATTTACTCCTCGAATCTAAAAAGGGGAGCACTTACATGAACTTGTCAAATCTGCTGTAATGCCGGGTTAACATCTTTCGACATCCAGAATTAAGGTGTGTCTACTCCGTTGAAGCAAAGTAATGTCCTGTTGAGGAACGACCCCTGACGATGAGGTGGGAAACAGCAAGCACTGACATGGACCAAACAAAGGGGTGGTGCTCTGATCTCATTATGAAACTTGCCACATCTGATTAGTTGTTTAATTAAACAATCAATGGGCCGATAAATCGCTACATGGAGTTGCACCTCCGTTATTAGCCCTTATAAATGCCAACAAATCGCATGAGTAAAATAATGAGTGTGGTCAAGTGTGTGGTAGTGACTGCCTAATGAATGCATTGCCTGGACATGTGGTCGGGCTGATCAATGATGGTTTAATTACAGAAAAGAAGCAATGGTAAAGTAAAAATAAATAAATAAATAATAAATAATAAAAATAATTACTACACAAAAAGTAATATAATTACTTGAATCTATCTAGCTGAACGACAAGAAAACTACAGCAAAACGTAGTTCACTACTCCCCAACATTGTATTCTGAACTTATGACAATATCTGGTGCTAGCAGAGCACAACCTAATATGACCTAGATATATGAACAGCAAAAGGAATTCTTCAAATTTCTTATTTCCCTCTGTCCATCCTTTTTCTCCCATCATTCCTTTCATCCTAACCTGTGTTATGTCTTCATGTGTCCTTAAAACCGTGATGGTCGGGGGCGTCGAGTGGTCTAAGCATATATAAGCCATATACATAAGCCCCATATGTAGAGGCTACAGTCCTCGCTGCAGTCTGCCCCGGTTCAAGTCCCGCATCGGATGGCCCTTTACTGCATGTCATTCCCCCTCTCTCTGCCTCCCCATTTCCTGTCTCTCTATACTATCCTGTCCAATAAAGGCACAAAGGCC